AAACTCTGCCTGATCCTGCGCTACCTCACATTGGTTCCTGTGTTTGAGCCCATTGTTGCGGCTGCTGAGTCAGTCTGTCTCATTGAGGGTCTTTCTCTTTTTCGCTGATGCTCTGCTTTACCAAGCATGATGTCCTTCTCCAGGGACTGGTCCCTTCTGATAACATGTCCAAAGTACGTGAGACAAGGTCTGGCCATGCTTTCTTCTAAAGCACAACTCTGGCTGTATTTCTTCCGAGACAGTTGGTTAGTTTTTCTAACAGTCTATGGTACATTCACTAATCTTTGCAACACCATAATTCAAAGCCATCAATTCTTCTTCAGTATTCTTATTCATATAGCTTTTTTATATGTATATGAGATGATTGAAGATACCATGGCTTGGTTCAAGAAGACCTTCATCCTCAAAGTGACATCTTTATTTTTTTTTTTTTTAACACTGTTATGAGGTCTTTTGCAACAGATTTGCCCAGTGTTGTATATTGTTTGATTTTTTTGACTGCTGCTTCCATCAGCCATTAGAGATACAACTCAAAACTATAATGAGATACCATGTTACCTTTACAAAAATTGCACTGATCAAAAAACCAGAAAAGTGCTGGTGAGGCTGTAGGGAGACTAGAACTCTTATATACTGCTGGTTGGATTGTAAAATGGTATAACCACTGTGGAAAATGATAAGATACTTAAAGCTAGAAATAGATATACCTTATGATCCAGAAAAGTGCTGGTGAGGCTGTAGGGAGACTAGAACTCTTATATACTGCTGGTTGGATTGTAAAATGGTATAACCACTGTGGAAAATGATAAGATACTTAAAGCTAGAAATAGACATACCTTATGATCCAACAATCTGACTATTAGGTGTATATCCTAGAGAAATAAAAGCAGTGACATGAATAAACAAATGCACACCTGTCTTCATTGCAGCATTATTCACAGTAATAAAAAGATGGAAACAATCTAAATGTCCCATCAGTGGATGCATGACTAAACAAATTGTGTGGTACATGCATATACAATGGAGTACAGCACAACAATAAATAATAATGATGAGTCCCTGAAACATAACATGGATAAACCTGGGGAACATTATGCTCAATGAAAGAAATCAATCATGAAGGATAATAAATATTGTGTGATACCACTTTTTTAAAAGTTAAGAGTAGGTTTATATACAGAATGCAACATTTTTTCATGGTTACCTGGGATGACAAGGGAGGGAGGAAGAATCACTTACAAAATAGTAGACATGTTAATTACAGTGAAAAGGAAAGGCAGTCCACAATATGACTTAGGCAAATGAGAGGTACACAAGAATAAAGAATAACAAAGGTAACTACTGTGCTTTGTACAATTCTGCAACTATAGTAGTAATAACCAAAAATGTGTGAGTGGTTACAAAGGTAGACATAGACCCTAAATAGATGAGAGAGGGTGTGTGGGAGGGCAGATGAGTGAATATGTGGGTACAGTTTTGGATAGTTGTATATACACATTTGCATGCTATTCATATATATAATAGAGCACATAGAGGGCACAGCTATGGAAACTTCTAAGACATATCCAAGCACCTCGCAGGACTGCATAGCTGCGCTTGCAGGCTGAGGACCATGGCCTTTGGGGGACATCTAGATCAATTGGTATAATATAGTTCATAAAGATAATGTTCTGTATCCTAGTATGGCTACCGACTCTTCTGATTAGGGAAATAGAAGTCCACGATAGAATGTGAGAAACATGTAGAACAAAACTCAAATTCATAAAAAAGTCCAAAGTTGCTGAAATGATAGAGACTCAAGGAACCCCCAAAAATGTTGCCTTAAGAAACCTACCCTTTTAACTTGGAACTGAAGCCACTCCCAGAGGTCACCTTTTAGCCAAAAATAGATTTGCCTTTAAAATAATCAGTACCACCTGGAAGAAATGTGTTTCTTAGCACAATTAACTATATGAGACCAAATGTGCAATATTTGCCAAAAAGCAAGGATAAGAAGGCAAAGAAAGGCAGAGTAACTGGAGAGATGGAATTGAGGAAGCCAAGGTGGGTATGAGGAGAATGCTAATTCATTGGGGTACACAAACCAGTATCACACAAGTTTATGTATGAATTGTTGAATGGGAAACCAATTTTCTGTGTAAGCTTTCACAAAGCACGATATATATATATATACATATATATATATATATTTTTTTTTTTAAGAGAAGACAGGAGATAGTGTAAGCAGCTGACAGATTCCATGAATAAGCTTATAAATTTTTAGCTGTATGGTTTCATGTTTCCAAGAGCTTGGTGCGAAAGATTAGGTTGCACTGATTTAGCATTGAGCTTTTCATTCTTTGTCTTAATCCTCCCAAATGGAAAATTTATTAAATAATTCTTTTTCTCTCTTGACTTTCCCCCCTGATTTCAAATGCCAACTTTACTTATTACCTATTAAATTTCCAAATAGATTTGCTTCTTTTTCTGTTATCTGTGGTAATGTGAATATCCATTCATGTTGGACAGTTTTATTTAATAACAAACTCTTCTAAATACTGCAGTCGTATCACCTGTATATCAAAAAACCAAAAACCAAACTCAACTGCCTTCGAGTTGATGCCAACTCATAGTGACCCCTGTTGGGTTTTCGAGGCGGTAAATCTTCATGGAAGTAGATTGCCCTGGCTGGTGGCTTTGAACTGCCAACCTTCTGGCTAGCAGTCAAATGCCTTAGGCACAATGCCACCAGAGCTCCTTTATCATCTGTATAGGGTGGGGTTAATCCCTACCTCCATCATTTTCAATAGTTTCTTGGGAATTGCTATATAATTATTTTTACAAATGAACTTTAATATCTAATATTTGGTCATTTTATTATCTCTTCAATTCCTCTCCATTAAAAAAAGAAAAACTCGGGAAAATTAAATATATTGATCAATGTCTTAGTTTCCTAGGGCTGTCTAACAAAATATAACAAAATAGGTGGTCCTTGTGGTGCAGTGATTAAGTGCTCAGCTGCTAACCAAGCATTCAGAGGTTTGAACCCACCAGCCACTCCATGGGAGAAAGACGTGACGGTATGCTTTTGTAAAGATTTACAGCCTTGGAAATCTTGTCAGGCAGTTTTACTCTGTCATACAGGGTCGCTATGAGTCAGAATTGACTCGATGGCAGTGGGTTTGGGTTTTTGGGTAAGTGGCTTTAAAAAACAGAAAATTATTTTCTCACAGTTACAGAGGCTAGTATTTCCAAATCAAGGTGTCAGCTATGTCTGTTTCTTTATTAGATCTCTGTCCTAGTTTCTGATAGCTCGTAGCAATCCTTGGAATTTGTTTGCTGCTTATAGATGCATGGGAGCTTTGGTTGTGTAGTGCATAAAGCACTTGACTGCTAACCAGAAGACTGGAGGTTCAAACCCTCCAGCCACTCCTCGGAAGGAAGGTTGGGCAATCTACTTCCGTAGAGATACCGCCTCAGAAAACCAAGGAGGGTGTGGTGGTTATGTTTGTGTGTCAGCGTGGCTGGGCAGCTGGTGGTAGTTATTCCCCATGATGAGACTGGCAGTCAACTCCATGGTGGGATCTATTACAAGCAGCTGAGTAGCTGCTTTGGGTATGTAGTCTGCTTCCCGTGTATAAGAAGCAGCTTTGGGAATGGTCTCTAGCCTATGGCACGCTTGGACGCTGCATGTATCTGTGTCATTGCTCAGCAGCCTGCTATGCTCTGCTGACCTTGGGACTTAAAATGGACTTAAGTTAATGGCCTGCCGTGTGGTTTGGTAACTTTGGGACTGTGGCTTTTTTACTTGTCAGCCTTGGGGCTTCTCAGCCTCAACAGCCAGCAGCTGTCTGAGTGAAGAAAAGCCTCTAGCTCCAGTGGTCCGGGAGCAGGAGGCAGAGCTGGACCCCAAGGTTGAGGGGCTTTCACCCAGCCCCTACAGCCTAGCGCTTTGACTTAAAGCCTCCAAATTGTAGGAATAAACTGTTTATTAAGGCATCCCATTTGTGGTGTATATTCCTGTCAGAGCATCACTAGGTAACCAGAACAGGGGTTGCTATGAATTGAAATCGTCTCTATGGCAGTGTTTTATAGATGTCTATGTCTTTGTCTCATCACTTGTCTCTCCTGTGTGTGTTTCTCTCTCCAGTCTCTGCTGTTATCTCATTTTATAAAAGTCCACTCAGAGGGGATTAGGTTTAGGACCCACCCTATTCTGATACGACATCATTAACATACAAAAGAAAACCCCATTTTAAAACAGGTTGAGGGGTTAGGACTTTAACAGATCTTTTTGAGAGCCACAATTCAATCAAAACAGTTAATTTAAGGAGAAAATTGAGAACTTCATAAAACTGCATTTGTTTTCCTTGTGTTGATCTATAGTTTTAATATTTTCTTGAAGGTCTTTTAATTTTTTTTTTTTAATTGAGATACCTAATATTTTTCTGTTATGAATGGAATTTTTTAAAACAGTTTAAATTATTTATATTGTATGGAGAAACGTCTACGCTGCCCTATAGGGTCTCATTGAGTTGGAATTGACTCAGTGGCACAGCATTGGAGACACTAGTGACATTTATTATTTAGTAACCAGCTATCTTACTGAATTTTCTTCTAGTTTCCCAGTTGATTGTACAAAGATACAGTTACATCTACTGCAAATTATAAAATGATGCTTCCTTTAAAAATTTGTCTTATTTAATTTTGTATAAGTTCATTGACTATAAGATGTTAAATAATTGTGCTGGTTGCATAATTTATATCTTTTTGATTTATGTAAATTCTTCTCACAATTCATTGTGGAGTATATTGCTAGCTTTTGGTCTGAACTATTCTCTTAATATTTTTGAGGTTGACAGAATAGCTTAACTAGTTCAGTATTGTTTCTTGTTGCATTAACAAGAATAGAATTGTTGGTCTGAAGTTACCATGGAAGGACTGCCCAGGACAGTTTTTGAATTCTTATTGCTATGTGTCAGAGTGCCTTAACTAATTGACTTTTTCTGGTTTTGTTTCAGAATGGTCAGAGTTTTCTGGTTTTGGATGAACAAAGATTTGCAAAAGAAATTCTTCCCAAATACTTCAAGCACAACAACATGGCAAGCTTTGTGAGGCAACTGAATATGTGTGAGTCTGGACAACAGTTTATTTGCAGTGCTGCTATCAAACACTGATTAAATATTTTTTTCTGTTAGGATGATAAAGGAAATACATTCATATTGTTGTTGTAATGTGCCATCCAGCCAGCCCTGACTCATAGTGACCCCCTCCTTGGGTTTCCGAGGCAGTATCACTACAGAAGTAGATTGCCCATCCTTCCTTCCAAGGATTAGCATACCATTAATTTTTAGTTTAGTCTGTTTCATTTGTTTGAATTTTTATTCTCTTTCAGATGGTTTTCGTAAAGTAGTACATATCGACTCTGGAATTATAAAGCAAGAGAGAGATGGTCCTGTTGAATTTCAGCATCCCTTCTTCAAACAAGGCCAGGATGATTTGTTAGAGAATATTAAAAGAAAGGTGAGTTCCTGTTAACTTGAATTAAGGCATTGCCATATATGTAGTATGCTTGGCCCAGACTTTTATTTCAGCTGTTAAAAATAAGAATGTATAGATTATTTAGGTTTTGCTTGTTTGGATGACTTAGACTACTTTTTAGCAAATAACACGTGCTTTTCATACTTACAAAAATAACGTGGGGAGGGGCTGCATGGTTGGCAAAAAACTTAAATGTTCCCATTATTTATGTGAAAATACAGTAGTAAAGCTTTATTTTCCTCCACCTTGTTTTTTCCCCTGCACTTAACTGTACTGAGGTGTCAGTCTTCAAACGCTTTCTAGAGAGAAGGAAAATATTTACATTCTGAATGAGGATGAGAAGTCATCCCCTGTAGTGGAATGGTTCATTCCTTCTGTAAGCTCTTTTTTTAATGAGAAAATGCTGCTAGAATGTCAGATCCTTTGAAGTCTGTAATTCCTTGCTCTATATCCAATTCCCAGAATAAATTCCTGGCACATACTAGGTACTCAGTAGTATACTTTTGAACGATTGCTGTATGTTGCTAACATAAGTTCTTTTTACTAAATCTGTAAAAGAAGAAGTAAAAAGGATAGTGGACGACAAAAGCATATGGCATTGCATGCAACTGTTGTTGCATAAATTTAATTAAATGTGGAATGTGGTAATAACGAAACTTGGAATCACAAGGAATTTGGCAGAATGGGAAAAATAAGGCCTGTAAGATGTTCCTACCCATGGAACATATTTAATAAAACATACATATATTTGTTGCTGTGGACTGATTATTCCTTGCTTCCTTTCCCTTTAAGCTATGAAATTTATTCTTTCTCTTGAATCCTAACCTGGGTTTTTTCGAACCAGATCTCTTTCTGAACAAGCTATAGAAACCTCTTATAATAGGGAAACTTTGATTACAATCATAGCATTTGGTATTTATTTTCTGAATTTGCTCTTTAAAAAGGTTTCATCTTCAAAACCAGAAGAAAATAAAATTCGTCAAGAAGATTTGACAAAAATTATGAGTAGTGCTCAGAAGGTTCAAATAAAACAAGAAACTATTGAGTCCAGGCTTTCTGAATTAAAAAGGTAAAGTATTTTTACTAAATATAATCCTGTAGGGGATTTCAAGGGTTTGTGTGTGTTGGAGTTTGGAGGTTGTCTTTTGGTTCATTTTAAGTACTTAGATTACTGGGTGGTGAAAATAGTTAACATGTTTGGCTACTAACCAAAAAGTTGGAGGGTCATATCTGCCTAAAGGTGCCTCAGAAGAAAAGCCTGGCATTCTACTTCCAAAAATTCATTGGTTGCTAACCCTGGTGAACACAAGTCTATACTGACAGCGTGGGGTCTCCATGCATCAGAATTGACTTCACAATGAATGTTATTGTTGTAGCAGTTTGCTGAAGCCAAGGTCAATGATATTTTTTCTCTGCAGGGATTGATACCCTTTGTTTTGGTTGGTTTGTGGCCCAAGATTATACACCAATATTACATTTTCATGAAGTTGGTCAGAAGAATATATAAACCTAGGTACATCAAAACAATTTACACAGATCTTACTTATCAAAGCAATAGATCTTTAAGTTGGTGTAGGAAATACGATTCTGCGTAGGTTAATTTTCACAGGATCTTAACACACAAATGAACATGCATAAGCCATGACAAATTCTGCATATGTTACCCATTTGTTCTTTTATGATCATTTCTTAAGACCTTAATATGTAGCCTACCTCTTAGGAAAAAATAAGACTGTTCCACAAGAGATTTTCCCTACTTAATACTTATTTTACATAAACTTGGCAAAGTATTATTCAAATCTTTTGTCTACCAAACGATGCTGTATTTTGTTTCACCCCAGTCTTTGAACCACTATCCTAACTTGCCAAAGTAATAACTTGTCCACAGAATACATGTGTACTTCCCTTCCTAAACAAGTAGCTAATCAGTGACCAAGGATTTAAAAGTAGTTATTCGTGTATTCTCTCTCCCTGTCAGATAGGAACACACTCTACTTAGGTATTCTTAACTCAAGTGTCTTCATTAAAAGAGTAGTAACCTTGTGGTATATGTTTTGCTGGGTATATTCTCAGCACCACCAAGAAAATAAATTTAGGAGGAAAAAAAAAAAACCCTTGGGCTTTGATTCTCTTTTTGTAAAAGGCTTGAATTGTTCCTTTTTTCACATTGTAATATTAACCACTAATAGTCTTTACTTTTTCTATGATGTGTTGGCTGAGGGTATCATTTGACCCAATTCTTTGGACCTTTGATTTAGCTCATGAAGAAAGGAATCTCAAACTCATAAATCTTAGAAATACCCATTTTACTTATCTGTAGCAGGCAGATAGCTGCATCTTTAAAATTCTGAGTTGGGAAAAGTCCAGTTACTCAGTAAGTTTTAAAGGAAGTCTTCTTTTCAGTACCTCTTTGTCAACCCAGAAGTCCCTAGGTGGCACAGAAAGTTAAGTGCTCAGCTACTAACTGAAAATTTGGCATTTCAAATTTACCCAAAGGCACTTTGGCAGAAAGGAGGCCTGGCAGTGTACTTCTCAAAGAACATAGCCATTCGCGGAGTTCTACTCTGAAACACATAGGGTCACCATAAGTTGGAATTGATTGGTCTGCAGCTTTTTTTTTTTTTTTTTTCCCCTTAATGTAAAACCACAGACCCTTTTGTAATGATTTGGATTACAGAAAATGGCTTTTGGAGATTAACAAAAGAGCAGAAATTAAAGCCTTTAGTATAGATTGTATTTGCTGCTTCTCATCATGCAGTTTCAATTAAAAAAGGTGAATGAATGAGAAGATACTGTTTTTATGCAAGTTATTGTTTTGCCATATTATGCTTTAAAAAAAAAAAAAACATGTTTAGTGTTTGCATATGCATATATGAGAGACAGATTAAACAGCAGTTTAGTGTCAGATGGACTTGAGTTTGACTTTAACACTTAGCAAAATTATCTATGTTCCCTCATTTCTCTGAGCCTCAGTATCTTTACCTATAAAATAGAGAGATGATCATAATTCCTCTCTTGGGTTTTAAAAACCCAAACCAAAACCAACTGCCATCAAGTCATTTCTGACTCATAGAGATCTATAGGGCAGGACAAAACAGAACTGCTCCATAGGGCTTTCCAAAGCTGGAAGTCTTCATGGAAACAGACTGCCACACCTTTACAATGGAGCAGCTGGTGCATTTGAACTGCCAACCTTTTGGCATACTTTGACCACTGTGCCTCCAGAGCTCCTAATGGATTTTGGAGAAGTTTAAGAAATATAGATAATGTTTAACATAGTACCTGGAGCATAACAGGTGTTGAGTAAATGTTACTTCCCTTTAACAGTTGTTTCCTAAGGTGATTCACAAGGTCTAAATTCACTTCGTAGCCACAATTGAAAGGATAGCTTATTTTGGTTTCTTAAACAAAAAGTAATAAAAAGATTGTCAAAAGAATAGATTGCCTGCTACTCTACAGATAACAGGTATACTCTTAAGTCTTTGTATATATTACGATGAATAGCAGATGCTACAGTTACGATGAAATGATTCTGGAGTATGTGTAGATAGCTACCGTTATTGTGTAATTAAACCAAAATATTCCTTCTCATAAAAATTTAAATTAAAAACAAGTATAGTCAAGTTCTCTGGTATTTTTAACTAGAGATTTTGAAGGCTGGTTTTCTGACTAAGTTGTGTTTTTTGTTTTGTTTCTATAAATAATAACACAGTGAGAATGAGTCTCTTTGGAAGGAGGTATCAGAATTACGAGCAAAGCATGCACAACAGCAACAAGTTATTCGAAAGGTAAGAAGCTTTTTTCCCATGACTGTTACCTTCATGTGTCTAATGAAACCACGTGTAACCCAAAAAAGCCCTATTGATTAGCCAGTCTTTGATCTCAGTTTCTTATATTTTGGAGAAGAAAAACTGAAGTTACACCAATTAATAAGTCAAATGTTTTACATATACTCTTACTAATAAAAAAATATTTCTTATTAAGTGAAGATTATCATTCTGTACAGATGATGTATCAGTAGCTGGTAAATGACCTTTTGCCTGATAAAATAGCTTGGAGATATTTTGTTCCTAGGGATATAATTAATACACTGTCAGATTCTTCACAGTGTTACTATAAAAGATTTAGCTCTAATGTGTCTCTTACTTTTTTTTTTTTTTTTTTTAAACTATAAAAAGCATAATTAAGGTCTTGGCAGATAAATTAAAATTTTCAGATAACTTGACCAAATTACAAATTTAAAAAAAGAAAAAAGATTAATTAGTGTGTGTCATTACTAATCTGTACAGAAAAACAGTTAATATGCTGTTATAAAGTGAATGCTAGATTTTAATATCTGAGTTGAATATTTACTGGGGAATTGAAAATCCTTCTGTTTCCTTATATACTTATGATTTAATCTTTGCATATAAGCTTTCATGTGTTATTAAGAGGTAAAACTAAAAGTAATTAACCTGCCTATTTTTTGCTCATGAGTAAACAGGACTCTTAAGTTAACAGGTATTTTGGGGAGTGAGGGTGTAGAGAGTACCAGCTTGTTCCTGTTCAGAAGGCCTGTGAGCTAAAAATAGGGTTATGACTGACAAGATCTGTGTCTAGTAGAGCAGGCTTAGAATGGTGATGAATGGCAATTGCAATCTTGGCCTGTGGTCAAATAGTTGGGTTTTTTATTTATTTATTTATTTATTTATTTAAGCTGAATGCAAGTTAGATTTAGATGTGGTAGAATTAATTTCTCAGTGTTTAATCCAAGTACATACATTTTCAAAACCTTCATAGGTCATTCTGTGTATAACCCTGTTAAGAATACCTGCTTTAACATGATAGATGTTTCTTGACCTGCACTTTATTTTTAAGAAGTTAATCTTTTCAGAAAATAATGTTTTTGTAAAATATTTACTTATGATATGTGGAAATCTGTAGACTTTATTTTTCCTAAAAGCAGTGATCCTTGATAAAATAAATATATTGCAAAAGTTTTAATTTTTCATGAAAGCTAGCTTTTTATCTGCTAAAATTTGAGATTGGATCTGTGCTTTTTTGGTGTGATTGGAGAGTTTACATAATGCATAAAAACAGCCAATAGTTTTGACTCCATTTCTAGAGTTTACTCTTTGGCCCTGTATTAACAAAACCACAATAACGTGTGAAGTACCTTTTATAGGACTATTCCAGTATAGAAGTTAGACTGTAAATGTTAGATGCTTCATCTTCCCTTTATAAAAAAAATATCATGACATGATGCACTTATGCCAAAACAGAAATGAGATGCAGAATAAATTTCAGGAAAAAATCTAGCCAGTTATTCATGTCATTATAAATTTAGCTACTAATATTTTTAGTATTTTCCCTTACCACTTTTATAAATTAACAAAAATAGTTGAAGTTGAATTTTTCCATTGCTAGGAGCTCTGGTGGTATAGTGCCTAAGGCATCTGACTGCTGACCAGAAGGCTGGCAGTTCAAACCTACCAGCCACTCCTCGGAAGGAAGGTTGGGCAATCAACTTCCGTAAGGATACCGCCTCAGAAACCCAAGGAGGGGTCACTATGAGTCGGATCTGACTCAACGGCAGTGCATTCGGTTTATCTTTAAATTTAAATACTACCTTTTTTCATCACTTGTCAGCATTTTCTTTTGAATAAGCTATTCAGTGGCTAAGCTCCTATTCATAAATTCTAATGCTGTTTAACTCTTCAGTTAAAATGTCTGTATGTTTCTCCATTAAAAGCTGATAATTGATTGTAAGGCAAGCTATTTCATTATCTTCTTTAGGAGGAAGCACAATATTAAAGCTATATGTTTAATTGACAATATCCTATTTTAATCACATAATTAAATTTCACAAAGCTTATAAGAAAATCTTGTGTTCTGATTACTTTTGGCCTTTATTCATTGCCTCTTAGTGACATACTCCTTTTTACAGTTCCCTATTTGAGCCTAACCTTTTAGGAAGTTGAAATACAATTTCAAGACATACCTGAAACTAGCGATTTTTACACTTTAATTCATATCAGTATCACCCGGAAGCCTTGCTAAAGCATATATGTAGGCACCATTCCCAGAATTTCAGATTAAACAGTTCTGGAGTGGAACCGAAAATTTGAATGTCTAACTACTTTTTAGGCCAGTGCTACTAGTCCATTGACCACACATTAGCATAGTGCTTAAGGCACTTGACTGCTAATCAGAAGGCTGGCGGTTCAAATCCACCAGCCACTCCTCGGAAGGAAGATGGGGTAACCTACTTAGTGATACTGCCTCGGAAACCCAAGGAGGAATCGCTATGAGTCGGGTCCGACTTGACAGCACATAACAACAAACAAAAACACAGCAAAATACGGCTTGTTTGCATGTTTTACTCTGTTTAATTACTAGTTTTTCCTCTAAATTTGATCACATGTTAAAAATTGGGGCAGTTTCTCTTGAATGTCAGCAGAAAGCTTTGACTGACATGCTTCTAACAAGAATGTCTCATGAATCAACTAACCACCTTTTCTAACTTGAAAATTTTATGATCTATTTTAAGTTGACTGTTTCTTTCACTTCTAATTGCATAACCTTGTATAACCAAATAGTTGTCTATTAAACACCAGTTTTCTCTTTTGCATCATAATGCAATCTTCTGCAAAATATTTCAATAGAAAGTTCGGGACTACATCCAGGCAAGTTGGTACTTACCAAAGACACATAACTGAAGTGAAAATTAGATAAATAAGTACATGCTATAGGCATTTCTTTGTACCTATACAGGTTGCAACAGCTTTAACACAACTTATCCTTCTTAAAAGCTGGTATATCTGTTGGATATTAGAAGACTTGGTAATGTTAAAGAATCAGGAGTCTAAAATGGAAGGATTTTTTTATTTGTTTATATTTTCTTTTTAGATTGTCCAGTTTATTGTCACATTGGTTCAGAATAACCAACTTGTGAGTTTAAAACGTAAAAGGTAAGTTTTTTTGCTAAAATGTTTTTACCTATATATTGTTGTCAGGTGCCTTCGAGTCTGTTCCAACTCATAGCAACCCTGTGTACAACAGAATGAAACATTGCCTGATCCTGTGCCAAACTCACAATCTTTGCTGTGCTTGAGCCAATTGTTACAACCACTCTGTCAACCCTTCTTGTTGAGAGTCTTCCCCTTTTTTTGCTAACCTCTACCAAGCATATCCATACTGCAGACTGTATTCTTCAACCTTCATCAGTAGGTGCCTTAAGTTATCCTCACTTTCAGCAAGCAAAGTTCTATCGTCTGCATATCTCAGGTTGTTAATGATTCTTCCTCCAATCCTGATACCACGTTTTTCTTCATATAGTCCAGCTTCTCGGATTATTTGCTCAGCATATAGATTGAATAAGTGTGGAGAAAGAATACAACCCTGACGCACTCCCTTCTTGATTTTAAACCATGTAGTGTCCCCTTGTTCTGTTCGAACGACAGCCTCCTGGTCAAGGTACAGATTCCTCATGAGTACAATCAAGTGCTCAGGGATTCCCATTCTTCTCAATGTTATCCATTGCTTGGTTCTACAATTCACATTGCTTGGTTCTACAATCGATGCCAACGGAAGCAGCAGTCAGGACATTAGACATCGTGTAGCATTGGGAAAGTCAACTGCGAAGGAACTGTTTCAAGTGCTGAGGAGCAAGGATATCTCCTTGAGGACTAAGGTGCGCCTGACACAAGCCATGATATTTCCAATCACCTTGTATGCATGTGAGAGCTGGACAATGAATAGGGAAGACCGAAGAAGAGTTGATGCTTTTGAGTTGTGGTGCTGGCGAAGAATGCTGAAAGTACCATGGACTGCTAAAAGAACTAACAGATCTGTCCTGGAGGAAGTGCAGCCAGAATGCTCCTCGGAAGCAAGAATGGCCAGACTTCGTCTCACCTATTTTGGTCATGTTGTAAGAAGGGACCATTCCCTGGAGAAGGATGTCATGCTTGGTAGGGTGGAGGGTCGACGAAAGAGGGGGAGGCCTTCAACGAGATGGATTGATACAGTGGCTGCGATGATGGGCTCGAGTATAGCAGGGATTGTGGGGCTGGTGCGGGATCGGGCAGTGTTTCGTTCTGCTGTGCATGGGGTCGCTATGAGTCGGAAACGACTCGACGGCACTTAACAACAACAACAACACCAAGCATATGATATCCTTCTCTAGGGACTGGTCTCTTCTTACATGACCAAAGTACATGAGACGAAGTCTGGCCCTTGTCGCTTCTAAGGAGCATTCTTCTGTCTGTACTTCTTCCAAGACAGATTTGTTCTTTCTTCTGTCAGTCCATGGTATTTTCAATATTCTTTGCTAGCACCACAATTCAAAAGTATCAGGAAGTTCCATGGTCCACTAGTCTCTTGGACTAATTGTTTCCATTCATCTTTAGTTTTCTTCATTCTTCTTTGCTATGAATGAAAAGAGACCAGTTGTTACATCTAGATGGCCTCTTGCAAGCTTTTAAGACCCCAGTTGCTACTCACCGAAGTAGGATGTAGAACAGTGTTTTTGTGTAGTGTGTTATGCCAAGGTAAACTTGATGTTCCCTGCAACCATGGTCCTGAGCCCACCGGTCCAACGACTCACTCCATGAGCGTGGTTGACTGTAGCTAAGAAGTTATAACTTTGCTCATTAGTTCTATTTATATGAACATTCTTACAGTACTTACAAATACATATGTAGAAATACCATCCACCAGCCTTATATGTGGTTGTGGATATATTCCCTTTTGCCTAGATATACCTCATCATTCATCTTTGGCTTTAGTGGATGGTGTCTACCAATCTATTTACCTGTAGATTAATGTTAATTATCACTGATAACACAGTATTGTATATGTAAAAGTGTTTATCTTTGTTGTCTGTACCTCTTGTGTATCTCTGTCTTCCTTTTCCTTAGTGTTACTGTGTTGGTCACTTGATTTGGTATATTTGAAATCTTTTGTTCAGGTCTAACTCATCATTTCTTCCTTTCTCTGTAGCTACTCTCCATTCAAGAGCAGGTGTCAGAGTCTCTTCCGACATTCATTTTGGTCTTCTTCCTTTTCTGTCTTTTTAATGACCTTTTGTTTTCTTCTTGGATAATGTTCTTGATGTCATCCTACAACTCAGCTGGTCTTTGATCACTGGTGTTCAGTATGTCAAATCTGTTCTTCAGATGGTCTCTGTATTCAGGTGGGATATAATCAAGGTCATATTTTGACTCTTGTGGACTTGTTTTAATTTTCTTCAGTTTCATCTTGAGGTTGCATATGAGCATTTGATGGTCTATTCCAGTCAGTTCCTGGCCTTGTTCTGACTGAAGTCATTGCCTTTCTCCATTGCCTCTTCCCAAATGTTGTTGATTTGATTCCTGTATTTTCCTTGTGTCGAGTTCCATGTGCATAATTTTAATCACTGTTTTTGTTGTTGAAAAAAGGTATTTGCAGTGAATAAGTCATTGGTCTTGCAAAATTATATCATGTGGTCTCCGACATTTCTTTTTTCAAAGCCATATTTTTCCAACTACCAGTGTTGCCTCTTTGTTTCCAATTTTTGCATTCCAGTCTTCAATACTTATTAATAATTTTGATTGCATGCTTGGGCAGTTTCAAACTACAGAAGTTGGTAAAAATCTTCAATTGCTTCATCTTTGGCTTTAGTGGATGGTGTGTATATTTGAGTGATAGTGGTATTATTTGGTCTTCCTTGAGGCATATGGATATTATCCTGTCACTGACAGCATTGTACTTCAGGATAGATCTTGAAATATTCTTTTTGACAATGAATGCAATGCCATCCTCTTCAGTTTGTCATTCCCAGCATAGTAGACCATGTGATTGTACAATTCAAAATGGCCAATATCAGTCCATTTCAGCTCACTAATCCCTAGTGAGCTGCCATTTCATATTTTACAACTTTCAGTTTTTCTTGATTCATACTTCATACATTCCATGTTCTTATTATTAATGGACATTAGAGGCTATTTTTTTATTTTGAGTTATGCCACATCTGCAAATAAAAGTCCTAAGAGCTTTACTGTATCCATATCATTAAACTTGACTCTACTTTGAACTCAGAGGCAGGTAGTTCTTCCCCAGTTGTATTTTGATTGGCTTCCAATTGTTGCCACCAATATTCTAGCACTCTCGCAGACAGTGTTTCACTGCTAATTCATAAGGTTTTCAGTGCCTAGTTTTTTCAGAAGTGGACCATCACGTCCTTCTTCTTAGTTTTTCTTAGGTTAGAAGCTCTGTTGAAACTTGTCCACCATGGGTGACCCTGTTGATATTGAAATACCAGTGGCATAGCTTCCAGCATCACAGCAACACATAAACCATCGCAGTACAACAAACTCATAAGGGTGACCTATACCTGGACAACCAAATATTTTAGTGATCAACCATGAGTGGTCTTTGTTTATGGAGTTTATATCTGTTGCCCCAGATGAACAACCCTCGCTTATTAAGTTATGCTCTCAACATCTCAAGAATGATGTTATTTCTATTGCTGTGATCCTGCTTACATTTTTAAGAGATAAGGATAGCCTTAATGGACACTTTTTACTGACACAGTTAATAAAGAATCATTTTTTAATTTAGATTAGTTGTTTAATATATCATAAGAAGACCTGAATGAAGGAAATTCTTTAAAAAAAAAAAATTGAAGAAAACATCTTTGTTTAATCCTTTCATAGAAGGAGCTCTGGTAGCGTAGTACCTAAGGCACTTGACTGCTAACCAGAAGGCTGGTGGTTCAAACCCACCAGCCACTCCTCGGAAGGAAGGTTGGGCAGTCAATCTACTTCCTTAGTGATACCACCTCAGAAACCCAAGTAGGAGTCTCTATGAGTTGGGTCTGACTCATTGGCACATAACAACAACAGCAACAAAAGTTTCTTAAACTATATATCGACCATGAGTTTTTGGTGCCTGTAAATATCAGTAGGTGCTACTGTCAAACCTATAGCTTAAAAAAAATTATGGGTAAAAAAAGTAGTTGGAAGAAGTAAAAGATTATTTGTAAGGCTTAATTATGATAGAACTTTGTGGCCTTCGTTTTACATGTATTAAGTAGTTCATGTGATATTACCTATTTATTTTGCTGTATAATTAAAGTTTTTGTAAAAGTTGTGTAGTTTAGTCAGCAGTGATTTATATTTGAATTGAGTAATTAATTTGTATTTAACAAAAATCATATGGAAGAATGGAAAAATGAAAGTCTTAGACACACTCATACTCCAGTTTCTACTCCTAAACCAATAATTTTTAAAGAGATCCCTGCCTGTCTTTACTGGAAATTTTTATTCATCTTTAAAAGAGTATGTTTGTATGTGAGCAAGTTTTTCAAAGCTATTTATACTTGTTTGTCTGCTTCACTAAACTGTATGAATATTCTTCTGATTTTTAGGCCTCTACTTCTAAATACTAATGGAGCCCAAAAGAAGAATCTCTTTCAGCACATAGTCAAAGAACCAGCTGATAATCACCATCATAAAGTAATTTTTTGTTCAATTTTATTTTATTTTTGCTATTGTCTCCAACTGAACTTTATTATAATAGTATTTCATGCACAACGAGAAGTTTAGTGAATAATAATTTAAATGCTCATCCTCCAGCTTTATTAAATCATGACTAGTTTTTTGCTTAGATTATTTTAAGAAATAAACCATTACAGATATAATTGTCCCAGTTGCTCCTTCCTGAACTTGTTATCACCCCCTTTTCCCCTAGAGGAAATAACTACGTTAAATTTAGTATTTATATTTCCCGTGGGCTTATTATGTGTGTATCCATGAACATTGTTTGACATTATTTTGTACATAACCTAATTTGTATTTGGAAAGAAGACTGCCTTAGAGATACTGCCTCTGAAGCCCAAGGAGGGGTTACCAGGAGTAATAAAATTCTGTACATTTTTGCAGTATGATTTTTTTTTCCTTGGTGTTGCCTTTCAGATTTATTTTTTAAGAATATAGATTTAGTTTATTCATTTTAAAGTATTGAGATTTCTGTTCTCAGACATACCGTGTTTAACATATATGTATAATACATGTAATTCCTCTACTCACCATTGTTTCTAAGCCATTAAACGTACTTAAATGTTTTGCTTTTAGAATTAAACACTCATGTAAATGGTTGAAATTTTTTAATTTAACTAGACTTAGATATTTTAAAATAGTTTATATCTTTTGTCTCTAGTGTTGAAATTTATAGATTTTTTTCATTATAATGCCTTATTTTGCTTAGGAGAATTGAAAGCTTTTTCATTACAGTATATATAGCCTGAATATATCTATAGCTTAAAAAAAAATCACTGCTGAAAATCCAGGGTGACATTTAACTATGGAATAGTTGAAGTGTTTCTTTTCTATTAGTGAAACTGTTTAATGAGTTGGAATAAAACATGTCCCAAAACAGTGCCTTGAGATGAAGTAAAACCCACCAGCCCAGTTGCCAGCCAGTGATTCTTACAATCTCTAGTCAAGTCTTACGATTTTCTTTTGCCCTTTGGATATAAAAAGTGCTTTAGAATTTGGAGATCTTTTTATACAAATATTCTGATGCATTTAATCTTTAGGATCTCTTATGATAAAAAAAAAAAGGTATTTGCTTATGCAGATAATATACCTCTTTTCTCCTTGCATTAGTACAGTTAACACCAACAGGCATAAAGGTCCCATTAGGGCAGAGAACATAACTTTTGCCCACCATTGTATTCTTAGCATTTAATAATAGTAGGTGCTCAATTAATATTTTTTGAATGATATGTTGTTTGCTAATCAGCATTATTTAGAATTTTTTGATATTTTACTCTCTCTCTTCTAGGTTCCACACAGTAGGACTGAAGGTTTAAAACCAAGGGAACGGATCTCAGATGACATCATTATTTATGATGTTACTGATGATAATGCAGATGAAGAAAATATTCCAGTTATTCCAGAAACAAATGAAGATGTTATATCTGATCCCTCCAAGTAAGGAGATGTATGAGATATACTTTATGAAAAATACTGGTCACTTTTCTTACTAAAAACCTATATTCAAAATATCTTTGTTCTTTGATGGACTAATATCAGACTCATATTTGGGTTATTAAATTGAGTAATTGAAATAAGTTATTCAACCAAATACAGACCCCAATGGAAAAAAATGAGAATTAAGTCTGAATTTTTCCCTTTTTTTGGAGTTAAATGCCATTAATGGAGTTTTTGCACCCTATGAAGAAGTATCAGTGTTTATGATTAAGCTAATTACCCAAGAAGGGATATATGATTTATGGAGACAATTTTCTGGAGACTGAATGGATAGAATGAATTTATTGAATTTGTCTGAAAATGTAATTGGTTCTTTGTCATATTACTGATTGATAGCTGTAGCCAGTATCCAGATATTGTCATTGTTGAAGATGACAATGAAGATGAATATGCACCTGTCATTCAGAGTGGAGATCAGAGTGAACCAGCCAGAGAATCCCTGAGTTCAGACAGTGATAGCACCAGCCCACTCATGTCTAGTGCCGTGCAGCTAAATGGCTCATCCAGTCTGACCACAGAAGATCCAGTGACCATGATGGATTCCATTTTGAATGATAACATCAATCTTTTGGGAAAGTGAGTGCTCATCTAATAAAAAATATTACCTTTTTTGTTCACTTCACATATATTCTGTTTCTCTGAGTGATCTTCCTTTCAGATAATGAACAAATACAGTCTACCTTCCTCTATTTTTATAAGAGTTGAGCTGTACAAGTAGTATTTTGATAGGAATTTAATAATCTCGAACAGTTTGGGGATTTTCTTGGTAGTTACTCAAATTTTTTAAATGAAATATTTGTTTTAAATGTCCATATGCTTATGTATATTTGTGTTTATGAATAGGATTATAGAGTATCTTCCCAGGTAAGGAGCTTACTATTTTATAGCATAAGAAAAAGAAAGCCAGTAATTAATTATAATAATGAGTAATAAGAGGGAAAACATTTTATAACTTACAATATGAAGGAAAACAGTAAATCAGACTGTTGTTGGAGAATGTTTTTTCTATAAATACTTAATTTCGTGTAAAGGCTTTGAGTTCTCAGTAATCAAATTTTCTGAAATCCTGGATTTTGAAAAGGAGCTACTAAGATTATGCACTGGTAATGTTTCGGCAGTTGCTGGGAATATTTTGCTATGTAATTTTAAATATGAAAACAAAGATACCTCATATTTGATGTTTTTTAAAATATTTTTTCTTTAGGGTTGAGCTGTTGGATTATCTTGACAGTATTGACTGCAGTCTAGAGGACTTCCAAGCCATGCTGTCAGGCAGACAGTTTAGCATAGACCCAGATCTCCTGGTTGATGTAAGTACTTTGGATAATCTCTGCTATAGTAGTAATTTATGTGATTATGTATATAAATTATAAATCAATATAGCATTTTCTTCTTGTATTCTACACTGTAGTTCTGTATTTTCTTTAAAAAAAAAAAAGAAGCAAGTGGTTTTATTTATCAGAAAACATGAACAGATGTGTTCAGGACATTGAAGGAGAGTGATCAGGGTAGCAGTTCAGTTAATCCCCATGTAACAACATACCAGCTCTATTCAACAGTACTGTTAAATCCAAGTCTTGTCTGGACTTGTTACTGTTTTATGTTTTGCTCTAGAATGAATTGACACTGAATAGAAATCTGTGGGACTTAACAGTGTAGGCACTTAGCCAGGAAGCAGCATGGAGACACTTAATACTTTGAGAATTAACATTTTTCCCTCAATTGTATTATTTTTTTATATATGCTTTATATTTTAAACTTCTGTGTTCTGAGTCTCAAGGTTTCCAAATTCTAATCCCCACTGCCACCCCTATGAACTTGACTAGCATTTTTTGGACTGTGAATCCTTATCTACCATTTCTGCCCATTACCCACTCTTCTTGCTGTCTTCCCTCTTATTTCTCCCTTACCTAAAGCTTTTTATAAGACCTAATCCCCCTCAGATGAGTCTTTTTTTCCCCCATTTCCATTTTATGTTGTGAACAAGTTTCTCTCTTTATCTTGATAAGTTTTGTTGCTCCTTTATTTTAAAGTCTTTCTTTAAAATGCAGCTTCTCTTACATCAAAAGTCTACACTTTTGCCCTTTTAAGAGCCTCTCAATAAGGCCAAAAGTTAATCTTGTTCTTACTCTTTAAGGTTACTTACAGTCCACTGATTTACCACCTATACCCCTTTACTTCTCCTGTCAGTCTTTGTCAGTGTCACATAACATTATCACCCTATTCAAATCATCAGTACCTCATAGGCTAGATTTTACCTTCTTTGAAGATTTTCTTTTCAGGCTGACCTATGTTGCTATCTTAAATGAATTTAGCATCCATGTTGATGACTTACTTCAGTTTGTTAACAGTAATTTGACTGCCCTTATTGATTTTATCGGGAGCCCTGGTGGCGTAGCCTAAGGCATTTGACTGCTAACCAGAAGGCTGGTGGTTCAAACCTACCAGCCACTCCTCGGAAGGAAGGTTGGGCAGTCTACTTCACTAGTGATACTGCCTCGGAAACCCAAGGAGGGGTCACTATGAGTCAGATCCAACTCAACGGCAGTGAGTTTTGTTTTGTTTTTTGTTTATTGATTTTGTCCCCACTCTCAATTCAAGGACTTTTTAGAAAATCTGTTAATCTTATAATTCTGAACCTCTACAGATCTTGGCATTTTTCAGCTAAGGCATTATTCTGTTTTTCTATCCTTTAATTCAACCTTGGAACATTTACCATATTTGCTTATCTTCAAGACTTCGTCTTACTCACAGTGGATTATTCACCCTGCCTTGGTCATCTCATTGGCCATGACTATCCTTCTTTATCAGAAGGATCCTTACTTCCTCTTTAAAGCCATTTTGTATACTGTCCTCTGCTTCTCCAGTTTTTATAGCTTTATCCTTGATCTTTCCTATCTGCCTCTAATTAGATATCTCTTTCATTAAAAAGCATTTTGAGATATTACTATGTTCGTTTACGCTCCTGATCCTCTCTTTCACTACAAAACATTAGAAATGAATGGCTATATCTGTTACCTCTTTTTTAACTCTATTTTTTTTTTTTTTTTTTGAAACTCTCCATCTTGCTAATTTACTCTAACCCCGTGCTGTCTTGGTTTATTCATTGTAAGTAGGTTATGATTTTCTTTCTTAATAAATCAGGTCACCAGGCTGTTGGAAGAAGGTTTGCTTTGACTCTGGCATATCTAGAGTCTGTAATTGATTTATGTTACTTACTAGCTGTATTACTACTGGTAGGAAAATTAGCTTCTTTTGCTCAGTTTCTTCACCTATAAAATGTAGCTAATGCTTAATATGAAAGGCTCTTATGAGGATTATAAATAATTAACATTATTATTATTGCTACACTATTAAATATTCCATAGCAGAACTTTTTCTGTTGATTTTGGAGGCACTGGATCTCTGTTCTCTTCCTGTCCCTGTAACCATTCTGTGTACTTGAAAGGGCTTTTCTTTTTCCTGCTGTCTTCTACTTGTGGGTATTCTTCAAGGGACTCAGTCTTTCATCCTCTTTTATTTTCTCTACCTCATTTGTTTTTCTGTTCTTTCTCAATGAAGAGATTCTGGCTTGTAGGATTGCTCTCAAATTATATCTCCAGCTCTTAATATTTGTTAAAAAATAAACTGTGCTTTAATTCTAATTACATACCTTTGGAATTATCACTTAGATCTGACCATAAATTACCTGTTTTACACCAAACTTAACTCTGTAAGCTAGTTCTTTTCTTATTTTCTATAGTGATATTGTACTTTTCTTGACTTATGTAGGATAGTTACCACCAGATCACCTTGGTTTCCTCCTCTTTATCTTACCACTCACCAAGTTCTGTGTGTTTTTCAAAATAGCACTTAAAAGCCATCCCTGCTTTTTATTTCCACTGTTGCCTCTCTTGCCCAAGACCTTCATTATTTTATTCCTGAACTATGCTGCAATATCATAATTAAAAAAAAATCTACAGGTGCATTGCCTTTTTTCTGAAATGGCAGATATGGTAAGGGGATGAATAAATGTATTAAGGAGTTCATGGGTTCTCTCTGCAGACCTCAGTATTGGAGGACCCAGGGTAGAGTCAGTAGCAGGGACCTGACCTTAGAATTTAGCTAACTTTGTTAGCTCCTTATATCTGATCTGTTTTTTTGTACTTCACATCATTTGTCTGCGGAGAATAAGTATATGGTATGCCTCAATTAGTGAGTAGGGGATGCGTGCAGTAAAGAGGGAAAGAAAAGTGTTTATAAAGGTGGTCCTCCTCAGGTTACCACTCAGTGGGGATGATATCTGGTCAGGCCTCTGAGGCAGTGACAAGCTGAAGTAGCAGATTAATAATGATATATAGCTATGAAAAGAGAAGAAGGAAATGAAAGGGAGATACAGGAATTCATGTTTAGAAAGGATGGAGGAGTGATCTGCCTTTGGCCTCTGTATTTCATTCTATCCTGTGAACTATTTGGTATGCTCATTCTCCTAAAATGCTCATTAAATCACTCTACTTCACCACTGTTTCCAATGTTCTTTTTCCAGACAGGATGTGGCCTCATCCACTCTATTTTAAGAACCTTAAGTATACCACTTACTATCTAACTAGAAACTTCTACATTATTTAAACTCTTTATTGAACATACCTCACAACCATTCCTTCTCTGTTGTTTCTAATGCTATATTAATGTACTGTTCTTCCATCCTCTCTCCTTTCTACTCATCTTTGGGGATTGACACATCACATAGCTTCATCATAGCTTTTCTGTTTTCTGTGTGTGTGTGTGTGTGTGTGTGTGTGTGTGTGTTTTCCTCCCTTCTGTTTATTCCTCATTATTTATGAGCCCTTCATCCATTGTTGTAATAATGAATTGTATCTGATCATATGTTGATATTTGAAGTTGATTTTGCCTTTTAGAGTGTAAGCTCCTGGAGAACAGGATAGTGTCTTCATCTTGTGTTCTTTGTGATGTCATTTATTTCTTAGATATTCAGTAAAACTGTCTGGAATAAATGACTTGTGTTACATATAACAAAAGTTACATACAAACTGACTGGACTGAATTATGCACTCAAAGACTTAAGTCCCTTGATAGATGAGTTGAAAACCAACCAGTAGGTAGGCCATCTTGTCAGGACTCAGTTTTGGAGCCACTGTCCTAGAGCGAAGTCCATAAATTTATCACCTAATTAGCAGGTATTCAGTGAAGGCTTGGTGTCAGAGTAGGGGATTCAGCTACTCCTTTGGGTGGCACTTAACAGCCAAAGGCATTTAAGGAGAAATAAATAAAGGAAATGAAATTGGATGGAGAATAATGAAGGATAGGGAGAATGGGGAGAACCACCATTTGTCTCAAGTGATTTATTACACACCTGTTTTATAGAGTCTTAGAACATGAAATTTTATGTAATGCAAAGGCTGGCTTGCTCTGCTCTTGTTTGTTTGTTTGTTTGTTGCTCTTTCTGCTTTCCTCTTGCAAACTTGTTTTACTGTGTGGAAACTTCCCTAGTGCAGGAGCTTCATCTCTTTACCCAACATGGCTGTTTGAAAATTATGAACACACAATTTTTTAAAATATTTTTAAACTTATGATCTTTCTTGTTTGGTCTTTCAGCTTTTCACTAGTTCTGTGCAGATGAATCCCACAGATTACATCAATAATACAAAAGTAAGTTTTAATTCATGTTGCTCAGGACCCATAGCTGTAAGAATCTGGAAAAAAAAAAAAAAAAAACCCTAATAGAGAGCAATATCACTCCCAGTTACAAAAAAAAAAAAAAACATTTTTTCTCTACCTAATATACATGATCAAGATAGTAGAGTTTTAGATGAAAAAGTAGCTTTGGTTATGAGATAAATCATTGCCCGATTCTACTAATGGGTATGGGAATAACTACTAGTATGAAACTGGCCCTTCCTGTGCTGGTCCTAAAAGGTCATTTGACTAAACTTGGGAGTGTTCAGATACAGCATTAAAATTAGTTATCAGAATATGATTTCTTAATGCTTTATGTGCTATGTTTACATTCTTATTCCTTCCATAAGCACAAATTCTAAACATTTTTTTATTAAAAGTTTCTTGTTGCCCATATTTTATTTATCAGTACAGTAATAATTGCTCAGTAATTTATACTAATTGAAGGTAAGGCAAGTTAAAACAGTGAATTAGGTAATTGGGATTTTGTTTTTAAAGTAACATGGTTTTTGTTATATTTTTAAATGTATAGGAACTCCACTTGGGCTTAGCAAGTGTTGAGGTATTGACAAGAGATTCTTTAGAACTGGTTTTTGGTTTTTTTTGGAAGGACAATTTGAATTGTTAGAGCAGATGTTTATAAATGTTTTATTATTTTGTACAATTTACTGTCTTGAATAGGTATATACTCCCTTTATCGTGTCTGGGAGGAGCCATGGTGTGACAGTGGTTAAAGTGCTTGGCTGCTAATTGAAAGGTTGGTGGTTTGAACCCACCAACTGCTCCAGAGGAGAAATATGTGGCAGTTTGCTTCCACAAAGATTTGCAGCCTAGGAAACACTCTGGGCAGTTTTACTCTGTCCTATAGGAAGGGTCAGGAGCTCTGGTAGCTTAGTGGCTAAAGCACTTGACTGCTAACCAGAAGGCTGGCGGTTCAAACTCACCAGCCACTCCTCGGAAGGAAGGTTGGGCAATCCTACTTCTATAGTGATACTGCCTTGGAAACCCAAGGAGGGGTCGCTATGAGTCTGGGCTGACTCGACGGCACTTAACAATAACAACAACAACATAGGAAGGGTCACCATGAGTCTAAATTAATTCGATGGCAGTGGATGGGTTCTCTAGTATATATATACAGAGTTATTTAGTGACCCTTGTTTTACTTTGAATAAAAAGGTAAATCAAAATCTCTGGAATTTGTACAAATTAAAGATTAGTAAGAGTCAGAATTTTATCTTAGTTCTTATTCTCTGTAATCTAAAAGTGAGCATATCTAAAAAGTTACTAGGGGTGGGGAGGTGGTTTTCTGACTGTTGTTAGGTGTAACTTGATTTTCTACATTTTGAAAGTTCTATAGTAGTCTAAGTAACTTAAGCTTGGATAATCTGAGAGTTTGTAGACTAGGAAGGTGATTATGCAGTTAGTATTTGGATAATTCATGTCAGGGATTGGCATGCTTTTTCTGTAAAAGTCAAGCTAGTAAATATTTTCAGTTTTGTGAGCCACAGCTACTCAGTTCTGCTGTAGTACAAAAGCAGTGATTAATGATAAGTATAAGAATGAATGTGGCTGTGTTCTAATAAAATTTTATTTAAAAAAGCAGACAGCATGCTACATTTGGCCTATGGACCATAGTTGGTCAAACTTTGTAAGATTCTTTGGACAACTTCAGCTTTGTATTTCAGTGAACATGATCATATTGTTGAGTGTTACTAAGCCATAGACCTTAAGTTGAGTGGACCCATATCATGTATTCATTTACTGAATGTGCTTTCATATTTATTGCTAGGCATTAAGTCATTCTTCATTCTTTTATCATGTTCCTTATTCCAAGAGACAAAGAGCTTGCATACAGTTTTTAGAAAATAGCAGCTAACAGAAAAGTGAATACTATTCTACAATACTGTAGAAAAATTAAATTTGAGAATAACTTTTCAGTATAGTTAGTCCTGGAATTATCTTTTTCTAAAATCATTGGCATATCCACTGTCATTTCCTTGCCCATGACAGAGGTATTACATACAACACTAATGTATTACATTAATGTATTATATACAACACAATCCTAGTAAATCAGGATGCCTTATGGTAGTCTGGGTGGCCATTACTAATGGATAAGAATTTGCATGGGAGGTGAAACTCATTTATCATCCTGGTTCTCATCTGTTGTAGAACAGCAGTGGCATCCTTGGATATTGCCTGTTTTCAGGAAATATAAGAATAAAGATCATGTCATTGTATTAATGTTTTATGTATTATGAATGCTAAATAAGAAAATTATTATTATTATTATTTTTTTTTTAAAAAAAAAGCTCTAAGTAGTTTTTTAAGGAGCTTTGGTGGTGCTATGGTTAAAGCATTGGGCTGCTAATCCAAAGATTGGCAGTTTGAACCCACCAGCCACTCAGGAGAAAGATGAGGCAGTCTCCTTCCATAACAATTTACAGCCTTGGAAACCCTATAGGGCAGTTCTGGTGCCATAGTGCCTAAGGCATTTGACTGCTAACCAGAAGGCTGTTGGTTCAAACCCATCAGCCACTCCTTAGAAGAAAGGTTGGGCAATGATACCGCCCCGCCTTGGAAACCCAAGGAGGGGTCGCTGTGAGTGGGATCCGACTCAGCGGCAGTGAGCTGGAGTCACTGAATCAGAATTGACTCAGTGGCAGTTGATTTTTTAGTTTTGGATTTAAGTAGGTATTATTACATCTTGGGGCCATTCTCTTCTCTGAATACTGGCAACTGGTACTGTGTCAATTAATGGTGAATATCAGAGGGAGTGTAGAATTACTAGACAGATGTTTGTTACATCACATGTACTTAACTAGTATGCTGATATCTGGGACTTAAAACTGTTTAGGAAAAATTGTGAACCTTTTTACCTCAAAACTTGATCGTCAGTGGAAAGTACACTGAAGAACTTAACAACATTAAAGATTTAATAACCGTACCACTGTCAGATAGATGTAAGGAGAGAAGACAGTGTTTGAAAGAAGCAAATTAATTGACAGAAAAGAACTAAGAAAACCACAAAGAGGAAAAGTCAATGTACCACACCTCAATTTTGAGATTTCTAATATAGGAATAGTTTTAAAGATGTCATCATACAGCTAATCCTGAGCTATTCCAAATATGTCCAAATATGTTTGAATTTTTGTTTATGAATGAAGGAAAATGTGAAATACATTTTTAATCAAAATATTTAAAGTAAATTTTATTGCTTAAAAACTTAATCATCTAATTAGCATTTTAAAACCAGTCATCTTTGATTCATTTTTTTACCTTTAACAAAGTCTGTGTTATTTTACTATTGAAAAGGCTCCCCTGCCTTTATACTTACTATCATCCTAATTCAGGTTGTTTCCTCCCTTTGATGACAACAATAGTTTCTTACCCATCTTGTTAACTCTACTCAAATCTCTTTTCTCTCTCTAGTTCATCTTTCCAGATGCTCCCCCTTTCCCATATATTTCAGATGATATAACAATATTTATATACTATTCTAATTTTTTTGCTGTTTCAGGAACATATAAAATGTGAAACATATAAGTATTTTTATATTATTTTTTCTCTTTTAGTCAGAGAATAAAGGATTAGAAAGTACCAAAAACAATGTAGTTCAACCGGTTTCAGAAGAAGGAAGAAAATCTAAACCCAAACCAGGTATGTATAAATGTAGTATTAGTTTCAAGTTAAGAGTCCTACAAAGAAACAAATATGAGCTAAGGAAATTCTTGCAATACTTAAAAATTGAACGCAGAGTATAACTGGCCTCAGTTCTGTTCAGTGTCAGGTTCTAGTTATATAGAGAAAATTAAATTAGTGATGTAATGGTTCTTAAAGTTTAAGTTATGGGATCACCCTCCCCCCATTTAACTTTAGGAAAAGAAAAAGACCCCTCATGTCTTAATTGTTAAATAAGAGATTTAACTTTTTGACCTGTATATTTTTTAATTTACTAACAAAAACTATCATAGTTTGTTGTTTAACATTAAAGATAATGATATATGCACATCTGTTTCCATTTTTGCCCCCTTTAGTTTGAACTCTGTGTAAGCAGGTAATAAGAATGTTTTTCTGATCTTTTTAGATAAGCAACTTATCCAGTACACTGCCTTTCCACTTCTTGCATTCCTTGACGGGAACCCTGCTTCTGCTGTTGAACAGGGGAGTACAACATCATCAGAAGTTATGTCTTCTGCAGATAAACCTATAGAAGTTGATGAGCTTCTGGATAGCAGCCTAGATCCAGAACCAACCCAAAGTAAGCTTGTTCGCCTGGAGCCATTGACTGAAGCTGAAGCTAGTGAAACCACACTGTTTTATTTATGTGAACTTGCTCCTGCACCTCTGGATAGTGATATGCCACTATTAGATAGCTAAATCACCAAGAAGTGGACTCTCTGTGTATATATTCATCAAAATGATGAATTATTTATTTTGAAGTATCATTTGGTACTTTTTTATGTAAATTTGTTTTGTTTAATCAGATACTGTGGAATCTAAAGCACCTTTTGCTTTTCTCACTAACCACACACTGTTGCTCAGCTGTGTAAGTACACAAGATTCAATGCACATTATTGGCATATCTTTACGTTGGATTCAGATGGCCATTTTTCTCCATTTGCAGCAAATTAGACTTCCTTTTTATATATAAGCCCGTTAACCCCAGTTAAACTTTTGTTATTTCGTTTGTTTGTTTTACTTGTTTGATATGTCTGACTGCATTGAGTGTAAGTCACTAGAACTAATGGTAGAACTCCTAAAGCTTTCTCTGTACTAGTTACTTTTATTAAATATTTTTCACTTTGCTTATTTTTAAAACCGGAAACATAAAGTGCCTGTATCTTGTGAAACTTCATTTGTCTTTCTTGGTTCAGAGATGTTCATTCATTCAGAGAAGTTCATTCATGTTCAACAGGAAAAGCAAAGTGTACATGAGTACTTGCTATCTGATACGGTTCCAGCTTAACATGCATGGAAAAAGAAGGGATGGGATGGAGTCAGCCCCATCCACTCAGATGGACTAGTTTTAAGAAAAACTTTCTGGTTTGTGTTTTATTGACCCATGCTATTTAGTAAAATAAACATAATGAATGTTGCGTTCTAGTGTGTGTTAAGTGTCTTCTTGGGAGGTGACACACACATGTAATAGTTGTTTGTTCTCATAGGAAGCAGATGGACTTAAGACTGTTTGTTGTTCATTATTCATAATTTGAGTCACACCAATATCTTTGTGCCCTATCTGAAAATATAGACTGTATTACAAGGGAATAATACATAATGTCTTTAAATTTACTGTGTTTTAAAGGTCTCTTTTTTTATGTAAAAAAAAAAAACTATACTGACTTGCTTTCTATGTTTCCAATTAGGCCTGAGAGAAGTGTGTCTCTCAGTATTCCAAATGAGGTTAGAACAGTATCACTGTATGCCACCAAGGGTCTACAGTTTTTGCCCTTAGAGAAGGTAGAAGAAATAGTCAAATCCCCTCCTTTGGAATGGTTGCTCCTGAAGATGCAGAGACTTCACGTAAGGCCAGGTACCTTGTTTATCACTGGAGGAATTTAATGTTTGAGTATTATACAGGTCTTTAGTATTGCAGAAAGTGGCATGGCAGTTCAGCACTTGGCTGTTAACCGCAAGGTTGGCAGTTGGAACCCACCCAGGAGCTGATTGGGGGAAAGACCTGGTAATCTGCTTCCATAAAGATTACAGTCACGATAACCCTTTGTGGAGGTTCTGCTCTTTCACATGGGGTTGTTATGAGTTAGAATTGACCCAGTGGCACCCAACAAGATTTGATAAGGAATAACAAGAGAGGCTTTCCTATTGACCATATTCTGTCTCTAAATGTCTTAGAATTTTCTCTTACTATGATATAAAAAGATTCAGAGTAAGGCCTAGCACAGAGGAGTAGAAAGACATTCCTTAGCAGATCTGAAATAGTCGGCTGTTACAATGAGGTCTTGGTGAATTAATTCAAGACTCCACAGTTTTCTGTAGGAGCTGTGGAAGTCTACTTTCCTAGAGGTTTTTAAGGTGAGAATTGTTCAGAAACTGAGGCTTTTTCTCATTTCCTTGCCTTTTTCACTGTAGGATATGACCAGGTTTCTTCTTACAGGTATTTTGGAACATTAAAGATAGCTTTGATGCTTGACAAATACTCTAAAAATAATTTTGAAAAACTTTATACTCCGAATCGTTTTTAATTAAACATCTAAAATCTTAAACTTGAATAGTTTAGGATATTGTTAATACTGACATTTTAAAATATAATTGTTATGTGCTTTTAAATACATCTAAAGAATTTGAAATACTATAATGATTTGATACCTATCACTATCTATTCCAGTTCCCCCAAGGAATTGTCCTCTGCTTTTATTATGTGTGAAAATCGTGTATGGATGATCTTTTCACACTTCCCTGCAACTCAGTTTGATACTGTGTCCTGTAACTTTGGGATTCTAAATATTAAAAATCCTACTCCAGTTATAAATACGTAGCTGATCAAAGCATTATAAATACACGTGTGTTGTTGTTGTTGTTATGTGCCGTCGAGTCGGCCCCGACTCATAGCGACCCCTCCTTGGGTTTCCGAGGCAGTATCACTACGGAAGTAGGATTGCTCAACCTTCCTTCCGAGGAGTGGCTGGTGGGTTTGAACCGCCAGCCTTCTGGTTAGCAGTCAAGTGCTTTAGCCACTATGCTACCAGAGCTCCTAAATACATGTGTTGTTGTTGTTGTTATGTGCCGTCGAGTCGGCCCCGACTCATAGCGACCCCTCCTTGGGTTTCCGAGGCAGTATCACTACGGAAGTAGGATTGCCCAACCTTCCTTCCGAGGAGTGGCTGGTGGGTTTGAACCGCCAGCCTTCTGGTTAGCAGTCAAGTGCTTTAGCCACTATGCTACCAGAGCTCCTAAAAATGTGTAGAAGACTGTTAATTGATTGTGGGCAATCTACTTCCGTTGTGATACTGCTTCGGCAACCCAATGAGGGGTCGCTATGAGTCGGGTCCAACTTGATGGCGTATAACAGCAGCAACATTATGCAGCTAGATTATTTTGGCCTTCCTTGCAATTAGGGTAGTCATGTGACCGAGTTCTAATAAATAAAATAGGGGAAGGGATATATAGTACTTCCAGGTCCAGTCTGTGAAAAGCTCCCCCATGTGAATCCTTCATGCCCTTTATTCTCTGCTGGCTTGATGCAGGTTGGTATGTGGCGTCTGAGTATACACTCAGGACAAAGAAGCCTGGCTTCCTGAATCACTGCTTAAAGGGGAGCCACCCATCAATCCTAGACACCTATTTTAAACTTCAAATGAGGAGGGAACAACTTTTATGATGTTCTGCCTCTGAGTTTTGGGGGTTGATTTGATAGAGCTTTTAGTGTTTGCCAATAAAATATGGTAGAAATTTTGATGAACTGATACTAAACATAAAAAGTAAAATTTTATCAGAAATAATATCTTTTAATGGAATAAAGAGCTTGGATTTTTTCAAGTTGTGTTTTTATCTATGGCCATTTATCAGTATAATAAGGGTTTTTCAGCATCTATTGCATTTCAATTTAGAAATTTCATTTGCCATTTCTTAAGGTATGTATATTAGTTTTCATTTAAACTAGTAAAGACCATAGAAAATTGAGATTTAAAATAAAACTGCCTGTTTTTGGCACCAATAAAAATGAAATGTGAAGAAAAATAGTCAAATAAAAATAGTGAGGTATGTGTTTTGGTTCTGAGGGATGAAGTGCAAAATGAAAATATTAGACATAACTCCAAAGCTTGTATTTGATCTCTTTATTAGATCTCCTAAGGCATTGCATTCCCAAGATTATCTCTTGGAAGAAATTTGGATTTTTATCTTTTCAAATAGCAATGTTTGTTTTTGTTCCTTTTTTTTTTTTTTTTTTGGTGGTGCA